TTTGTTTGTTGGTAGACTAATGTAAATTGGAAGAAAGAAGATGGATCACACGCTCAATTCAACGCAGTGGGACCGTCACATGATCTACAACTATGGATTGCACCACCGGTCCATCAAAGATAAGGTCGCGGACGTGGCCGCGGCAAGGGGCATAGTTAAGCTTCACCTTTCTGGTTAGTCGCATCACAAAAAGATGATTATTCTTAACAAACGTGAAAACAGAAGTGACAATAGAGCTACGCAATGACTATCTAAAGTCCCAAAACGATGAGAATTGACTCACACGAGTGACCACACACTCTGAGTTTGGGCCACTGATTTCTCTAAGAGATAGACCTATACTCTTAGCTTGATTACATGAAGGCCATACTCAAATCTTTATACACTCCAAGCAATTAACCAAAAGTAGATGAGACACATTTAAAATCAATGAGCACAATCCCTTATGATAGTGATACGCTCAAGAACAGCGTCAATTGCTGCTCTTGACATTTTTTGTTCTGATAACACCTTGGCTCGTACAGCACCTGTATTTGGGAGCATGAGCAACCAATGGTGTCGAGTCTCGGATGAAATCGTACACAGACCACCTTTATAATAGATACAATGGATCTCAATATATATGATGGGGTCAACTCACAGGACCAAACGACTCTTGAGACTTACTTTGATTTTCACTTTCAGTTGGGTGATATTCTAAACTCATGTACACACAATGATCTCCATCCGTTGCGCGGACTATTCGAATTGCCTTATTTCCAAATAAATGGACATCGTAACTTCGGCCATCATTGTGTTGCAATTTAGCACTTCCTTCAATTCCTTTGAACCAAAACTAATTTCAGTGTGTCATATCCTCCATGAAGTGCACCGGCTTAATGACTTACCATCTTCGAATCTGTCCCTAACAATGTAAAGCTGCGCAAGCACATCGTCCCTAATTTCTAGCGTGGGTTCATGTGGTGCAGTTTCCATGACTACTAAGTTGAGAGAAAGTGAAAGATATAGTAGAGGAACTGAGTAGATTTAAATTTAAAGTATGAATTTATAAGTTACTTTGTAGGAGGAGAGCTGCCCTGCAATGTGGATTGTTGGGGAAAAGTGTGAAATGGGAAGAAGAGAACTTGATTGCTTGCCTGTTAATTTATCACTCATCCAAATTGTTGAAAAAGTGTGATCGGAACTTTTCAAGTGTTTGGATCAGCATCTACATAGGATTCGGGAAATCCCTTAATTGAGAAAGGGCATATAAGTTACTTCGTGGGAGGGCTGACCTTGAACGTTGTTTGTTGGGGAATAAGGGTGAAATGGGAAGAAGAGAGCTTGATTCATTGCCTGATATCACTAATTGAAACATTCGAAAAAGTGCGATCGGAACCTTCCGAATGTTTGGATCAGCATCTACATACTATTCAGGGTATTCCTTAATTGAGAAAGTGGCCTCCCTTTCAAAAGAGTCTTAAGATTGCACGACTGAACTGAAAGTCACAGGAGTTAGACTTTTTCATCAGACGAAGGGGATGGGTCAAGATTCAACAACTTGAATCAATGGGAGTCAAACAACCCAAAGGCTTTGGGATTAAAAGGGACAACGTCTTTGGATCTTTACAAAGGCAAATGGATATCCATGAAATTCCTTCGAACATTTACAAATTGAAATACTTTGAATGTTTACCATTTGAGCGGGAGATATCTAAATCAATGCAGTATTTACAATGATTACGCAAAACGATATCATTCATAATAGTTCTGCATGTGTATCAGTTATCTCATACGTAAAGCAGTGGAGCAAGAAATTAGGAATGAAAGACATTGATGCGTCTCAAGCCAAGCGCTCGTGCAATCACAGCTTCAATGGGAGCTCTTGGAATTTCATCTTCTGATACAATCCCAGCTTGTAACCCGCCTCCAGAAGCTGGAAGTGTAATAATTGGATGTTCTTGAGTTTCCGATGAAATCATACACAAAGTATCTCACAGAATCAAATTATATCAATCCAAACAGCGGAGAAAGAGGACTGATCTACACAAAGAGATCGAGTATATTTATAAATAGCTCAAGTCAACACTACAAAAGTGGAAACGGGCAGATGTAAGGTCATATAGTAAGGGAATGAGTACCTGACAACTGTTTACACAACACAAAAACAGATACGTAAAAGATGATTATGTCATTGTGATAATCAACATATACCTTCATGACTTTAACACTGTGCTTATTTAATGAAATCCTGGTATCTTTATTGCAGAAGGAAATCCAAAGCAACATCAGTACATTTACTGACAACAGAAACTGTAGAAAACAAATAGAAACAAAAAATGATAGCGTCGATGATAGAAACAACTCTTGCTGATTCAGAAGGAGGCGGACAACTCACAACCGCATAATATTGGAAAAATACATCAAGTTAAAACTGTAGCACCGGATGGAAGACAATGTTATTTGTAGCTAAGTCTTCAGATTCTGAAGTAATGCATACATTGACGTTTGCAGCCATAGTGCAGCGCGAAAGAGCCACATATAGCTGGCCGTGAGAGAACACGGGACGCGGCAGCAATACTGATACCCTGTTAAGGCTCTGGCCTTGACTTTTGTTAATAGTCATGCAGAAGGCCGGTGTGATCGGGAATTGATATCAAGAGAAGGGGATTGGACAATTTTCGGTGCCTTCATGACAAAGCTTGATCTTGCACAGGCTGATAGAGGTGCCTTTCAGGTCTCCAGTAAGAATCCGACATTGTAGGGCACTCGTCTTACAATTGGTGATTAAGAGGCGGGTTCCGTTGCAAAGCCCGTCTGCTAGATTCAACTTTCGTAAGAGCATTACCGAAGCGCCAACCTTGAGTTCAAGTCTGTGGGGAGGGAAGCCTGGGAAATTGACAGTATTGAGTATATCAACGGTTACCGGATCGAAGAAGACCTGATCCATCTCATCAGTAGAGAACGATGTGAGACAATTGCCAGGGAGTGAGCTCATGACGTGCTTGTTCAATTCATCCACAGTGGCATTCAACGGGGTTATAAGACACCGACTGGCGTATAAATTGGTAAGCTCAGCCCAATTTTCACATCAAATCAGGCAATCAACCCCGCGATACTCCGTGTGTAGAAGCTCTTGATGGAAAGCTGCTGGGTCACGGGAGATAGATACATTGCAATATCGCAAAGGGATTGTTGCTGTGTATTCTTGTTGTAAATCACCAGACCCGAGTTCAAGCAACCACTTAGCAAAGTTGACGTTGTGAGGATCGGGTTGAGCTGATGCACCTCCAAGACATATATTGACAGTGAGTGCAAATTTGTGTGTTTTGTCCCATAGGTAGGAAGCTTTGAGTGAGGCTTTTGCCTGCTCCATAAAATTTGAGCGCCTAACTATTGGGAATTATTGTAGGGTTTGTGTGGTTGATTCAAACTGTTCTGGTTGTGTATTTTTTTATGTTTATTTCTTTTGTTTACTGATTGTTAGGTTTTCTTTCTGTTTCTTAATTAGAGGTGGATTTTTGTATCTTAAAAAAAGAAGAAAAACTCAGTTGCGGGTTCAGCTTCAATTATGGACGATACTATTCGGCAACCGGTTTTTTTGACCCGAAGCCCTGACTCGTATCCACCACCAAATTTGCTGCCCGGTTATTCTGACACGTCGCCCGGTTTCATTTCAAACCGGGCGACCGAGATTGAACTTTCCAAGTCAATACCATTCCCTTTTCACACACGACTCGCGTCCTCCCTCACACATGTTTTGCACTACTTACTCACTTGTTTTTGAACTCAATTTCATTTTGTAATGATCGTTTTTGTTCGTTCACTCCTTGACCTTTGATAATTGATAATTACATCAAAGATTCAAAGATTAGATTACAAACGGAGAAGAGAGAAAACGAGAACTCTTTCATTTTGTTGAAGGAGTGTACAAAAACCAAGAAACCAAAAGAAGACATGAGGAAAAATCATACAACAGATACGAAACATGAGTTCACGACTCTTTCTGATTTGTCCAACCTTCCAACTGATCTTCATAAGCTTTGACCCAATTTGGTATCTTGGTGGTGTCAATCATAGCTGTGTTGCGGTGCTTCCCAAAATTTTCCGGAAATGGCAGTGCCCGCTCCTTGACCCCCAAACTTACAAAATGATTTTCATTGATGAATGCAAGGACAATTGGATCTGGGTTGATCTTCTTGGGTAAGGTACGATAGGGGAAGAAGGTGCTGCAGTTCGTCTTCATCGGATCCAATAATATAGTGGGGCGATTGTAAGCACTCGCAATAGCATACCCAAGATAAGGCATGCGGAGCCAGTATTCTCGTGAGCATTCTATTTCCTTACAATCCAGTCGAAACAAAAGATCTCGAAGTACCTCGGCGCCAAAGGTATCTTTCTTCCGTGTACGTGTTTTTGTTGATGTTGCAGATGAGTTCGTGATCCTGGGCGTGTTCTGAAACTTTGGCAAGTAATGCCTTTCTAACATCTAGATACGAATCCTGAGAGTACTTCCCACTAGACGATGCTATAGCATAGTAACCACAATTTCCAGAATCGGGTGGATTGAAACTTGACTCAATATACGGAACCACGAAACTCGGGAGCTGATTCAAGATTGCTTGCTCTGGTGGAGAAGACAGTCGGCTTTGATTATCAATGCTGTCTTCTTCGCCAAAGGTTTCTTCATCACTAGTGAAAACCGCAATTCCATAGACACGACTAGCTTCGAGTGTAATCTTGACTTTAGGATCACTCGTAGGCAGGTCCAAATCTTCGGCGATGAGCAGTAAAGCTAGTTCCGGTACCATCACACGACACATGAAGAACTCAATTGGAAAGGGGGCTACTGTGGAGGCCTGTAGTGGTGTTTTGGACCCTTCAGACAAGAAAATTTCATTCAATGCCTTGAGCATGACCTCGAAACCAATTTGGCCATAACTGGAACAAATGTTAACTTGATTAGTCTCTTGTTTGCTCGAAAAAAATATTCAAAGACTCACTACCCAGGCTGCTCAACCTGAAATCCATCAAATTCCCCAGTCATAGAAAACAAGGCCCGTCCCTGGGTTTTCCACTGATTTTGGGCAGTGTCCAGAAAAAAAGACGGAGTTTTTCGCTCGGCAATCCGGAAAAGATGATTTGTATGTGGCGTGATGCGCCTATAAACACAGAGAATTTGTCAGTCCCCAGACCAAAGTAGAATGATATTGAAGAAATAAAGATGCTTACGTGTGCAGCAACTTGAAGTCGATGGTTGTGGGCCATCCCTCACGTATTCCAAAGGGTACGTGATCTCGTTTGGCCCGATGGAGCGCGCAGAATGATGCGGTTTGGGGAAACTAAACGGTTTAACAATCAGCCAAGTACCAAAGTGGACAAAATTACCTGTGGTCAACTCACAGGTAGCGACCTCCCATCAGCCAAATCGAGTAGGGTTTTTTTGAGCCTCAGAAGTCTTGCTGAAGGTTCTAATGGAAGTTGATCATCACAGAAGGGACATTCGTTTTCTAGATCCGAGCTTTCGTTGCTGGTGTCTGAAACACTGAGGTCCGGGTTCATATAAAATATATCTTGAGATTGTGGCTGGTCAACGTTGATGCTAGAAGGATTTGAAATTGGTTCGGTTTTGGAGTCCGTGACATGTTGAGATTCAACTGATACCGGGTGAGGTGGTTGCGGTTGTTGGACCGGAACTGTTGTTTTGAGTTGAGTTGAGCAACGATTGGATCGATGTCCTGGCTGTTTGCATGTGCTGCATTTGTATATGCGCTTGACTTGGAGATTTTGAGTTTGAGTCTGAGATACTGTAGCTGGAGTGGGATCAGCTGGCAAAAGAAGAGGTTGACCCGAGTGAGACATGTTTAGAGTTTGAGTGTGAGAGACCGTTGTAGCTGGAGTGGGATCAGCTGGCAATTCTAACTGGAGGTCGAAATCAGTTACATCAATAGCTTCGTCGGCCAGGCGTAACGGGCAAGTGGTTCGGTTGTGGCCCGGATTTGAACAATAACCACAGTTAGAACCGCGCGCTTTTTTAGCCGCCCTTTCTGCATCTTTAGCTTCTTTTTGAGCCTCTGCGGTTTCTTCCACCTCCATTTGAGACTTCCATCGTGATTCTCTTTGCGAAGATCCTGGGCGTTTGTTGGTACGAGGTCGGCCGCGTGTATCAAGCTTGACTATTGCATTCTGAATGGGGGACAAGACCGTACCTCCCGCTTTTGATCTTGGCAAGGTCCTCATAGATCTTGCGGAGGGAATGTTCGTCTAGCTCAATTAGTTTGTCAAATGTAACTCGCAACACGTTAACGAGTTCCACGTGACTTCCTGGAGGCGCGACTAAGCTTAGATGCCATTGTGAGTGTATCAGATTGGGTGATAAGCAATCCGATTCTTGCAAGATACGCGCTAGCTCATGGGAACATGGTAATCCCCATGCGCCACTGAAACACTTAGTACACGGCCTGTCAAAAGAATCGGGAATCAGTTCGTACTGTTTCTTGAGCTTCTTGAGTGCATAGTGTGATATTGCGCCGTTCAGATCTTGAAAGCAAGTCGGTAGTCCGGTAAGTGTCTTCTGGCTTTCGACTCCAGTCAGAGTGGTGATTTCCTTGAATTGTGAATCTCCCGCTCGTTTGAAAGCCTTGAAGCAAGTAAGAAAGTCGTTGTTGCTGCCATCCAAGAAATTCTTAAGTTGATGATGGGCCCCCTCGACTCGAGAGGTTGAGGAATTCCCGAAGTGTGCCGTTTGAGATGTGAACATTGCCACATATTTTTCCGGTCGGGAGAGCCAGGTCCTTTCAAGGTAATCAAGGATATTGTGACGTCGAGCCAGAGTTTTAACGGCTTCCAGATTCTCGTCGTAATCGGCAGTAGTCGTACTTTGCAAAAAGTGATTCCAAGTCTTCATGAAAGCGTCCCATTCCGGTTTCTTCATTTTCTTCTCGCAGTTTTTAGCGATGTTATGGTTGATGTGCCATATGCACAAGATGTGGGTGGAAGTGGGAAAGACTTTGCTAATTGCATTGTACAAAGCGGGCTCAGCGTCAGTGCAAAATGTCTTGGGAAGTTCGATTTTGGTGTCCTCGGAATCTCCATTGAAAACTATGGACTTCAGCTGTTCCAAAGCCCAAACATACCGGTCCTCTACCTCACTGTGCATGAAACACAAGGCAATTGTGAAGGTTTTGTGTGTGTTGGTCGTTCCAACGATATGAAGTAGTGGCAAATTGAATCGATTCGTCTTATAAGTGCAATCGAGACCAATGACCGTTGGGAAACGACGAGCTAAATCAATACCTTCCGGGCTGGCCATAAAGAGAGATTGGAGAGTTCCATTGTCGGATGTAGTCGTCCGAAAGGCCCATTTGTGTTCGGTGACCAAATCGAAAAGACCCTGAATTGGTGTACGTCCGGATAACCACACATCTCTTTGTCGATACAGAGCGTTCCGGATGTCACGAACCAAAGGTTCTGAGCCCGGTTCAAAGTTGAGGAGCCCTCGTATTTGGCCAGGACGGCAACCAGCTGAGGACAAAAGCTCAATTTGATGTAAAATTTCGCGTGAAAATTGTCGATTTTTAGAAAAGTTGTTTGGTCGATCGAAAGGTGGGTGGTTATGTTCATGTTTTGAAGCAGTCTTGTTGTCTCGCTGTACAATCCATCGGTCTTTACGTGAGTGGTAGTTGAGTTAAATCTCAAAACCACAGCCTGTCATCTTCGTGGAACTTGCTCGAACTTTTGCTTCAGAATCTCCCGGACGGCCAAGCGCACACCGAAAGTAGATGCGTACTTTTTGATGATTTTCGGTTTTGTGACTTTTAACAGCTATCCCATAACCTTGATGTCTTGCAACTGCGTTCATGTACATGATTCCACTGGCCATCGCTAGGAATTTCTTCCCAAAAACTGGTGATTTCATAAGTTTTACCGGTTCAACACCTATCAAACAAACCCAAAACAAACGGATTAAACAGTGTAAGCAATAGAGTACGCGAAAAATCGAAAAGAACTCAAGATACACATACCAATGGGAGGCCAATCGGCATCTTGTTCGGCTTGACGGTCCTTCAGTAACTCATCTTCTTCGGGGTCAAACTTGTCTGCTACATCTCGATTCACTACTGCCTCTTGAATAGGGTGATCTGGTGTGTCTGCCTCCAAAGTAGCAGATGGTGAAGCCGCAGATGTTGTTGATTTTGGGTGAGTGACCGTGACTTGGCTGTTCGTGTTTGCATGACTAGAAGCAGAAGCAGAAGGTGTGGGTGGTGGCAAAGGGTTTTGGAGACCCAGTGGAAAATGAAATGGTGGATACGGTGGAAAAGACGTTGTTGATGTTGATTTTGGGTGAGTGACTGTGACTTGGCTGTTCACATTTGAATGACTAGCAGTAGAAGGCGTGGGGAGTTGATTTAATTGGGATTTGCTGGGTTGTGGAGGCATACTCGGTGGCAAAGGGTATTGGAGACCCGGTGGATATTGAAATGGTGGATACGGTGGGAAAGGTTGCTGATGATGATAAGGATATTGCCAATATCCTGAGCTGGGCGCGTCCTGCGAAAACGCATGGTTCAACGGATTTCCTTGGGCCCAGTAGGGATGAGTGTAGGGGTTGGAGAAGGGTTGGGGAGGCGGGTGCATAAAAGGATGGACGCGTGGATCATAGGACACATTTGGTTGTGGTGATCCTATTGGCGGTAAACCTGGCGGAGGTGGCGTCATGTGGCGGAGTAAGATGATTTGATTCCTTTGATTATTGAAGGTAAGGAGGCAAACGAAGACAAGTTGGTGATTGGATGTGGTGTAGAACAACTGGAAATAGCAAGATCTTCAGTCAGTTGTAAATCGGAGAGAGATACCAAAAGGAAAGAGGGAAGGAGTGATGAAGAATCTGTGGTCAACGAGCACTTACCATCTTTAGCTTTAGCATGATCACATTGGATGGGATGATCACGGTCACCTTTGACGTTTGCGACATAGCAATCCAGCGAGAGAGGGGTTGGAGAAGAAGTGTCCAAAGGTTGGAATAGCCCGCTTTGAACATGATAGAGTTGGTGCGCTGCCCGGTTCGTGAACTTTAGCGGCTTGGATTATGTTTCAGGAGCCTGGTTTTCAACCGGTTCTCAAGGAAAGGGCGCTGAGTGGACTTGGTGCCCGGTTGTGGCTGCGGCTGCGGCCAAATTCAGCCGTATTGGCGGAGAGTCGCAAAATACCCGCGGATA